TCGTCTGCGCTTTCTGGTTTGAGGTGTTGCCGCCACGCAAAAGCCGGACCCGAGTGCAAGTACGATCGGCAAGTATTATTGCGTGTGTCCGTCGAGAATTTTATTTGGTGGGCCAATTACCCGAACAACCCGAACCTTTACAAATTCAAAATTATATTAGGAATTGGAAAAGTTGATTAAAATACATGTGAAAACCGAATCGAACTAAATTCATGTTAGTAGACGTAAATCGAAATCCAAGTCAAATTTGGACGTGCAACTTGTAAGATCATTGGTTAGGGGAGCTTTTAGTAAAGAGAGATTGACTGAGGTGAGGGTTATAAGTAGTGATTCATAAACGTAGAGAAGCTAGTTAGGGGTTAGAGATAGTTTAACGTTAGGTATGAGGTACCAAATGGGTAATGGTCACTCTATATAATAAGGTTTGGGACTTTCGTTGGGTCCTTGAGAATTTGTTGTTCAAACGTTTCTGCAATTTCCCTATTGACAATGTTAGGTTTAAGTGGGTTAGAGAGTTATTGAGTGAGGGGGGAAAAGCTCGGGATAGAGAGGTGGTGTTCCAAACCTTCAATCCATCTGATGCCATGACTACAGTTAGTGTGCCTTTATGTCACACTAGGGCGAGAGATAAGACTAGTTTGGCACTGGGAGAAAAGTGGAAATATACTATTAGATCATCCTATCAATTATTCTAGAAGCAAATAGCAGGACAAAAGAATGCAGACGACCAAGCACTTCAAGGGAGAAGTTGACAAGACTCTGGACTAAAACTTGACAACTGCCCATCAAACACAAGTTAAAACCTTCATTTGATGATGTCGGAATAAGTTCCTAAGCACCAATGTCCACTAACAATGAAATGAATGATAGTGGAGTTGATTTATGATGTGTGTGGTGAAGAACCATAATTTCTTCAGGCGTACAAGAGCCTCTATCTATTGGCAACTGCTTGGGGTTGTGGGTTGGAACATATTGAATAACAAGGATTGCAAATTCCAAGACTGGTGGGTGAAGGTGAGTAAGTATACTCAGACAAACTTTATGGAGGAAGAGTATGTTTGTCTATCTATTTGATTTAGCAGTTTGAACTTTGGAAAAGAGTAAATAGAGGAGAGGTTCATTGTAGATAGTGCAAAGGAGTGGCTAGAATCCTGGTTGGCTAATTTTGGAAATGTTGTAGAGGACCGGAGAGAGAAGAGACAAAGATCTGTGCTGGAAGGGCATTTTTCCACGGAAGTAGGACATAAATCAACTTCTTAGTGCCTCAAGCTATATTAGTGACGAATTGATCCTCAAGGGAGTTGTTGCATCAGGGGATAACCTAATTCAACAATGGTTAGATACTTCAGACTTTGAATGCAATAAGTGAGGGGCAGGGCTGGTAGCAGTTAGATGGGACTTACTTAAAGTGAATGAGAATGGGTGGTTGGATGTGAACTGCAAAATTAAAGATAAAAGCCTTCTAGCATTGTTGTAGAGAAGAGACTTTTATGATTGTTATGCTTCTGTTGTACTAGATGATACTTTGTTATTGAATTTTGTTGGTTTGAACTGTAATTTTGTGTTGGACAGTGTTAGGAGTAGAGTTTATTCTTTGTTAGCAGAGAGGGTTGTGTAGGGTGCTTGAATTTCAAGCCCCCGAATGAACCACCTATAATTGTGTACTTAGGTGGGAACGTGGTAACCATTTAATTTCTTGTGTGTACTTTCATTTCTTAATTTGTATATGTTTGTTTGGTTTGCCCGAAAAAAAAAAAAAATGTAAGATCATTAGTACACTCCAATTCAATTATAGTTTCTTTTTTGAATTGGTGGTTCATAATTTTAAGTGAAAAATATTTAAACATCGTTTTTCATTCAAACTATAAATCTAAAATATTATGTGCTACATTTCATTATCATCTATTTTTAGTTGAGTTTATGTTAACGGCGCTACAAAACATGTTAAATGAAATCAATTGGTATGCATGCATAAATCTTACCAAGTTATTTTGAATTTTTTGAATTACATAAATAAAGTACATGAACATGGATAGCACCTGAAAACAATGAACCATAAAATTAATTGGTTAACCAAAAGAACTCATTTTGAATAGATGAATTAGCAAACAAGTACGTCCTATCTTAATAAGTTTTTTTTTTTTTTTTAAAAAAAAAAAATTTTAAAATTATTAATACAACTACTTATAGTCTTTATAGATCAACTATCCCATTGTTCGCTTGTTCAACATTATCATTGTGATTCTACATGTGTCCCTTGATAACAATCTGGACTAGACTTACTATGTTGGTCGATCCCTTCCCCTGTTCCAGCTAATTTCCCTGTCTAATGCCCAAGCTTCTATATGTCCGAGCTCCTTAATCGTCGAGCTATAGATGAGCTTAAGCTGTTCGAGCTCCTTAATCACCGAGCTATAGATGGGCTTAAGTTATTTGAGCACCTTAAATGCCAAGCTATCACTAGACTAAGCTGTCCGAGCCTTTTAATTGCCGAGCTATAAATGAGTTTAAGCTATCCGAGCTTCTAAACCAACTCGTCTAGCTAGTCTTCATTCTACAATCTGAGCTAAACACAGTCAGTTTTACCGAGCTATCTTTATGTGTCATGACAACTTTCCTTTTGTTATGTATTTTATTGTTGTTGTTTGGCGTTTTGGAGATTTTGAATTATGTATTTGTCTTCAGATGGTTGAGACTAAGAGTTCTTGTTTATTGTCTTGGTAGGTTCAATTTAGCGCAGTGATAATGTGTTGTTATCTTTTTCTTTTCCAACATTATTATTTTTTTATTATAAAACATATAAATACAATCAAATGATAAACGAGTTAGGACATCAAAGAAAGAAGGAAAGAAAATAAGAAGATAATCACTCCAACATGGGATGATTTCGAATCAACCGCCCATTTCACTATGTTGTGGGCCACCTCATTTCGTTCTCTTGGTAAATAACCGCATCGGCCATAGTTAAGAGAAAGAGAGTGCTCTAATATAATCAAACACTCCAATCAATGGATCGAACTAATATTGGTAGGAAATCCCGCTGATGACGCCCATAGAATCCGTGAAAGCCATCTGAAGATTGAGACCCAAGTCCGATGCAATGCGTAGCCCGTTTCTTATAGCTAAAGCTTCCGCCAAAAGAGGGAAAAAGAAACCCGTCAACCGGGTGGCAAAAGCAACCATACAAACTCCAGTGGAGTCCCGAATCCAACCACCTAGTCCGATCTCTGAATTCCGTCCGCAGCATCAGAAATGAGAGTCCAACCATTGTTGCATTCTGCAGGTCTCCTCCAAAGGGAAATAGAATCGAGAATTGGAAGCAACCAATTGGTTAATAAGCCCGATCTACCATTATCGAATTCTTTTAACCAAGACAAGCCGAACTCCCACACTTGTTCCGCATCCCTACCCTTGAGCCTCTTTCGACAACAGTTTCGTTCATACCAAATGAGCCATAAACCAACGACAATACTGCGGGAGTTCATCACCCTGGGTCCTGGGCAAAAGGGCCACAAATAGCCGGATAAAATCTCCCCTCCAAAAGCCGTGGACATCATCCCACCAACCAGCATATTTCCACAACGTTTTCGCCCACTTACATTCAAAGAAAAGGTGATAGTTGGATTCACGATCACATCGCCTGAGGCATCTACCATCCACACTAATGTGTCTCCGCTCCAAATTGTAGCTAGATGGTATAGTTGAAAGAGACAAGTTTCATATAATTTTTTTATTTTTTTATTTTTACTTTTGCAGGGGAGACGAAACTACTACAACTCTTTCCACCATTTCATATGCAAATTAGTACTTGATCCCGAAGATCCCTCGAGAGATTTTTTCAACAAAAGATAGGCACTTCGCACTGAGCACTCTCCATTGCTTGTACAATGCCAAATAATACGATCATCACCCTGACTGATCTAAAGAGGGATAGCAAGAATTTTGTAAGCATCTATGGGTAAAAATACCTGGTGCACAATATCGGTATTCCAAGTTCCAGTCGTCCAAACATATCTTGGACACACTCCAGCTCCGATACAATTGGAGAGAAAGGCCTAAACCACGAATTATGGTTGGATCTTTGGTCATAAAACTTATTGGTATTTATTGAGTTATTATTATAGTTCTGCAAAAAAAAATAATAATAATAAATAAATATATAATAATAATAATAATAATAATAATAATAATAATAATAATAATAATAATAATACTATTTATGTTGCCCCTCCCTCCAAAACCAAAGACTGGACGATAGCCACTAGCCAGATATAGCGCGGATAAGAAAATCCGGTGGCAAATTGCAAATATCGAAAATCCCAAGCTGTTCAAATTCCCAATCAATGGCGGGTTCAGCTTCAACTCTCCACCTCTTCAGGTCATCAACTACGCACTGCAACCGTGCCTTTGAGATTATCAAACAATCTCCCGCTTTTAAAAAGCGCTTTTCGTTCACCTGCTTCTCTTCCAAGAAGAAACAGCTAAGTTTCATGGACCAAATCCTGGATTACATCGAAGGTCGCCACTCTTTGTCTATCCAGACTTATGATTATTCATATGTTTTCCATTTTTTAAGAATAAGAATTCGAACTTACCACCATTCGTATCAATCTGTGTTTTTTTTTTTTTTTTGGGATGTATTTTGTTCATTCTTTTGTGGGGCCATGAGTGGTGGAGATTTCCTTTTCGCCGGGGAACTTTCTGCATTTTATTTAGGATGTGCTTTGAATGTTTACTTATTACCCAGAAAAGTCTGTGTATTAGGAAGCTAGACACTCTTTTGAGAAGGGTTCATCGAGCATATATCAAATGCCATATCTTCTTCATTGTTGTGTTTAAGAATGAATTGCTACGGGGTGTTCGTGTCTGAAGTACTTTGTCTACATATGTATACTGGAATGCATTTAATAGTGTCTTTTCATTTATTTTGTTAAGGGGGTCCAAAGTTAAGGAAATGGTATGGGGCATCTGATCTTTTGCCGAAAGATGGAAATGATTCGAGAGAAGATGAGGCGGAAGGTCTTATGTACAAAGTCGCGTACTTTATTTTGGTTAATCTCTTATCAAATTACTACATTATTTCTGTATTTTGTTTATTTGGAAACAGGAGAAGAGGAAGTTAGAGATGCAGTGTTAGTAACCGATGGAGATAATGAGATTGGTCAGGTGATGCTATAAACGTGATATGGTCTTGTTTCAAATGCATTTATCCAGTGTGTACAGCTATTGTTTTATGTAACTTGGGAGGAAGTTAAGAACAAAATGTCTTGTTGTCATTTTTTCTTAGTTTCTGGTCCCTTAACTTCTACAGATGATCATACTCTCTCTCATTATCAAAAGAGTTCGAGTAAAGGCACTTGTGAAGGATAAGCGGGTAGCGAGTGAAGCATTTGGCACATATGTTGAGGTTGCCTAATGCATTATCTTAGAAAATGTCATTTGTTTTGGCTGCTCACTTATCTTTCCTAACTGTAATTTGCTGAACTTGTTTTGAAGTCTATGGCTGGTGACACAAAGGACAAGATATTTTTGAAGAAGGCTTTAAGAGGTGTCAGCGCAATTATATGCCCAATCGTATGTGTTGACATCTCTACTTAGTTATTCATATAGTTGCGATTAATATATCAAGGGAAGTAGATTAACCACGCATTGCATTATCATTCAGATAATTACAATAAAATAGCCTAATTACAAAAAGTTTTGCGTTCTTTAGTATTACAATACAGCACTTTGCTATTTGTTTATTTCACAAATTATCCCTTCCTAGTCGCTATCTGCTTAAAATGGCCCGTTGCCTGTGGGTTCTGGTATTTTGGAAGGTTAAAAATGTTAATGCCTTTAAACCATCCCTCAAGGGTAGTAGTTGTTTTTACTTGTAGCGTGCTTATTATTTCACCCTTAGTTTTGTGCTAGATAGTGTCTTATTCTGCCAACTTTTACAGAGCTCCTTACAAAGCTAAACTGAAGAAAGCTATTCACTTTTCTCATGCTACGGGGTTCTTTTCACTGTATTTCTATTTGTATAATTCTACAATTTGTGAACTCATTTTCCCTTTTTCTTTTTATGATCCCGATCAAAAACTTTACCTGAACATTATTTCTAGGAAGGTTTTTTGTGTAATATAGACAGCTGGAAAGGAATAGAGCACGTGATTCTGTTATCTCAGGTATCTCCCGTTATTTTCTATATAGTTGGGACTGCAATCTAATCATCAAATGATTGATATTGTGAATGTGTGAAGTTCTCAGCTGTCTGTGTATAGGGAATCTAGTGGCATTCAAGCCATCATGAATAGTAACGCAAGAAAACTAGCAGAGCAAGACGAGAATCTAGTAAAGGCATCTGCAGTCCCCTATACCATCATCAGAACAGGGGTTCTGAAAAATACTCCCGGTGGCCAGCAAGGTTTCAACTTTGAAGAGGTATTTCAAGCTAAAGTGGAATTTAATTCCAAAAACGAAAGGGGAATCTCTTACAGAAAAAACCGTTAACTGCCCTTTAGAATTATAATGATTACATTTTTCTATTTTAGTTATTTATAAAAGGATAAGTGATAGATGGAATCTATTTAAAATTTTTGCAAATTAACATTAGCAGAGTTGAATCAAGTTCCGTTAATTTTCTTCTTAGTTGACAGTAACACGTTTGTATTGAATAACAGACTTGATTGATGTTCCATCTTAGTCTCATCGATTTGAGGCTCATATCATGGGGCATAATCTGAACTGAGCCATCTGAATCTCAGAACATGGATAATATCAGCACAAGTTGTACCAATCTCATATTAGTAGAAGAGATGTTTCCATGCAAAATTTAGGCGGGGTAGAAAATAACTTTTAGAATGTCGAGGACGAGTGTGTTTTGAGTGTTGTAGTGAATGACAGTGTGAGATCAACATTGAAGAGCATAAGAGCATAGAGAAAGATAAATACCATGCCATCATAAGAGAGTATTAGAACTGGCGCTTTTTTTCTTTCTTTAGTTAAATCACATTGAAAAACTTGTTGTGCATGTAGTAAATAATTCAACAAAGCTAATACTGGGTGGGGGTAATCATGCAGTTGGGTATATTTAGTGTATTTAATGCATCCCTCCACTCATTTTTTTAAGTTAATAGGGGAATCACCATGACAGGGAAGTGCAGCAAAGGGAAGTATTAGTAAGGAAGATGCTGCGTTTATTTGCGTCGAGGCCCTTGATAATGTCCCTCAGAAAGGGCTGATATTTGAGGTTTGAAGAATAGAATTTATTTGTGTTTCATATTCTATTTATGGTCATATTATGTAGCTGTGATTCTCAAATAGAAATTTCATCACTCGTCGCCGACAGGTCGTAAATGGCGAGGAGAAAGTTTCTGATTGGAAAAAGTGCTTCGCTATATTGATGGATAGGTCAGCCGAGTAGCTTGTACCACCAAGGACAACGATGTAGGTACCGTTTTGTATATTAAACTTACAATTATGGGGTAAAATATTGCTAAAAACTAAAAGGACAGTACAGAAAAGGTTTATAGCTGAATAGAGAAAAATTATCATCTCAGGTATATTCTTCGTTTTGGCCGGTTTCTTCATATTTAATCCAGCTCTGCTGAACAAATGCGAAATTTTCGTTTTCGTTTTTATTTTGTTCATTTTTCAGCTGAAAATGGGTTCATCTTGCATCTATTGACAGCTGCTGTGGGCACTGAAGATTGAAGAATGGAAAACTAGATAAATTTACAATCATTTGTTAATATTTAATTTAAAGGGCTTGTAAATTTTAGTTCTTTTTTATTGGGAGAGACTGGTAAAATCTCCCACTTACTATGCCTTTTACCAATGGCAATCAGGCCCTTGATTGCAAATAAAGAATAAATTGTGTAAAATGTATTGATTGATGAATCTGATCCTCTGTTCCTTAATTTGTCTTGTGCATTCTTGTGATTTTGATCCAACAACTAATAACAAGTCACATAAGGTTAAGTTCAACCATAATAAAGGTCTCTTTAGAAAATACAACTACCTTTCATGACTTCATGAAAACCATTGGGATTAGCTTTTTTTTTTGTCTGAGATTCTTTTCTCAATAATTCTGCATATAAAAATATCAAATGCTAGAGGCTATCATAGTATCATATCAATTAAGACAAAACAGTAGTCAATAAAGTAATTGTTCATTACATCACCAATCTAGTCTTGGTGGGTCTTATTAGCACAAGCTGTTTTCATCAACCACTCTAAATCTTCCAAGTACCAGCTGTTCATCTCAGTTCCACAAGATTTTTTTTTTTTTATTGGTAAAACAATAATATCGAAAAAAAGTAAAATTTTTTTACAATGTATAATAATTTTATCGAATTTTTAGCCTGTGAGAACACACTATATATTAACGCAGAATGTCTCGATACTACATGTCGATGTTTGGGCTTCGTAATCGTGTCGAATTCTGGTGCTTGGTAATCCCACGTGTTTCTCATGTGTTTGGTCTGCGCTTTTATCCACGCTTCTAGACTTCTTTTGAAATATAAAACACTTGACCAACTCTAAGCTACAAATATATATTAAAAGTTGAAAACTTTGGTATTTGTTATCACATTTTTATATATATTATATAAAATTAATAGACTCATAACGAATTTTGATTTGACATCTATATTGCATATATAAATAAAGATGTATATTTATATTTATAATAAAAATTAAATTATTTATAAATATTAATTAAATTACATATAAATATTAATTAATAAATAATAAATTTATTATCAATTACATAAATTTATTTATTAAATTTATTATATAATAAGACATAAAAAAATAATCAATGATAAGTGTTAATTTAAATATAAATAATAATCTAAGTTTGTAAGAATGACTTAAAATGCAAAATAAAAATTTTCCTTTATGTATATACACGAGTGTACTTTGAAATTTGCCCATGTAGATTTATATTCTATATATAACTATTAGGACATTTAGAATTATAAAACACTTGATTTATTAAATTGTAAATATACGTATAAATGTTAATAACTTTTGTATTTGTTATCATTTTTTTTTTTGTATGTAACATATCAAATAAATAATTTTATTTATCTTTATCATAAAATTAAGTCATCTTTAATACTAATTAAAAACTAATAAAATTGTACATCAATTAAAAAAGGCATCTATAAATTCAATGCATATGAATTAGAAAAAAATAAATATTATAACATAAGACCGAAAAATTGTACAAAGGAAAAATATTATTTAAATATAAATAATAATGTAATTTTTTTTTAAAAAAAAGTGTTTAAATTTTAAATAAAAAAATCACTCCTTAGTTTTATTTTTATTTTTAATTTTCACTAGTACAACACCCGTGTATTACACGGGTACTTGTTAAAAAATTATTCTTAAATTTCAAAATTATTGAGAAAACTAAATTAAATTTAGTTTACTTTTTTACAATATATATATATATATATATATATATATATATATATATATATATATATA